CTAACAACTGTAAATTGGCACCTGGGGACCCACAGGTTGAGAACCATTGAGTTTAGATGAAACAATACCACCAATGGCATTAACTTTCCATGGTGGTGGGATTGCATGGTCCTATGAGTGAAGAGGCATTACTTACAGCAGCAGGGCTGCTCCGTCAGGCAGACATTTGCTGTGGAGCTAGCCTGAATGTTCTGAACAACTATTGAGTAGTAGTTGTAATGGAAGATGACATTGGTGAAAGATCTCTCAGAGTTGGTAGTGGGACCATGGTTAATGCTTGTTAGTACTTCGCAAAGGAGGTATGTTAATCTCCTTTTGAATGTCTTTTACCATTAAAAACCCTGTGGTAAGGTAATCCAAAATAAAACGAGATAATGGAAGAAGTTGAAACTTCTGATTGTGCTCAGTGAGCCACTGTGGCACAGCAGAGGACAGCTGCAACTAGTAATGTGGCCAATGATGCAGATGGACTCACTCTGATGGGCTGTTGTGCTCAGAGGTGGAGGAAAGCCCAAAGTTGTGCAACACATAGGAATACAGATTATGAGGTGCATGAGTCAGGGGGGAAGCTTTATATAGTAAAACAAGAAATGTAATGTATGAACATTGCAATACTTGGGATGAGCAAGCTAGAGTGGGCAGGGCAAGGGCATTTTAGCCAAACACAGTGTATTAGCCACATTTTAGCCACACTGTGTTTAACTCAGGAAGCAGAAATCTAAGAAAAATTGAGTGCTATTAATAGTGAAGAGAGATGTAGCAAATACAGTCAAGGGACATAATGCAAAGTCTCACCAAATCCTATCAATAAGTCTTCAGGAAACCACATCAGAATAACAGTAATCCGGGTCTATGCAGAAACTACAGAGCCACAAGAAGAAGAAAGATTCTGTGCTGGGGTCCAGGAGGAAACTGATCATATACCAAAATAGGGCTTATTAATCACAGGCAATTGGAAAGCAAAAGTATGAAAAGAGCAGAATCAAAGATTGTAGGAAAATTTAGCCTTGGATCAAGAAATTGAGAGTGCCTGATTGACTTTTGTGAAGCCAACCATTTGGTCATTTCAAACACATTCTTCAGGCAACCCAAGTGGTGACTATATGTATGGTAACCATCTGATCACCAATATAAAAATAAAATAGACTACATAATTATAAGCAGAAGATAGAGAAGCTCCATTCTCTGCCAAGAAACAAGGCCATGGGCAAATTGTGGCACAGATCCCAAACTACTAATGTCAAGAATGGGAATAAAGTTAAAGAAGAAAAACTAAATCATACATCATGCCAAAATACAACCTACTTGTAGAATTTAAAGGGAATGTAAAAATATTTTTGCATTTTTAAGCCCAACTGAATGAGGACTAGAAGAACTCTGGATTGAAACTAGGGACACTGTCAGGAGAAAATGCAAAATCCAATATCTGTAGCCACAAAAAGAATAGGAAGCCTCAGTAGACCAAACTCCCCAAGCAGTTGAGGAGAAACAAGAAGCAAACGTAAAAAGTGACCGAAATAGAGTGACAACCCTGAAGGTGAATGTTCCGTTACTTGTGTGCAAGGACAATAATAATCAGTGCAGGGAAAAAGAAGACAACAAGAACAAAAAAGACATGAAGCCTCTTCCACAAGATCCAAAAAATCAAAGGGAAACTACAGATCTGGGGTTCACAAATTAAGGCCCACGGGCCAGACACAGCCCTAAACTTTAGACCTAGGATCAGCCTAAGTCTGAAATTACTTGAAGACACAGATCAATAACAATCCTAATTAACTTGACTAGATTATCAACCAAAAGTAGGCGCACACTTCCCACCGAAGTACTGGTAAGTTAAAATTGTTCTTCACTTTAAATATTATATTGCTCTTTCATGCATTTTTGCACTACAAATAAGATATGTGTAGTGTGATTCATTCATGCTTTTTTCAAACTACAGCCGCCCACCCCCCTCAATAGTCTGGGGGACTGGGAACTGACCCTCCACTAAAAACGTTTGAGGATCTTTGCTATAGAGCAATGACTCTTAAACTATTTGATGTAGCAGATTGCTAATTACCCTGCCCCCTCGTGCCAGATACTAGTGCCATATTTGTGTATATTGGCTGCAATTGTATTTTTCTTACTTGGAAACTCTTCAGGTGTTGCACCACTGTCATGGGCTGGCATTAGTCCAGGAACCATCATTTTTTTTGTTGAAGATTAAAATATCAGTTAATCATAAATAAACTTCTAAAATATAGATTCCTGGCCATTACTTACCACAAATAGCAAGTATTGGGAAGTGTTGAGAATGTCTAAGGCAAAATTCATGAGGTTGTGGTAAGGTAAACAGGTATATGTAGTGGTTTGTGTACATTCAGTTCATTCTAGACAGAACTTGTCCCACGATCTGCAGTTCAGGTGGTTCCATGATAGAGTTTCCACACTGTTTTGAAAAATGTACTCGGAAGGTCAAAGATTTGGAAACGACTGCCTTTTAAACTTGGAGGCTTTGTGGCTGTAGGTTGTGCCTTGGGGAAAATTGGTCTTTTGCTGCTAACAAAATTTCCCATACATCTCATCAAAGCTGGGATTTGAGCTTAATCAACTTCATTTCAATAGGATGAACAGCCTCTTCACATGACAATCCAGCGTATACTGGCTGCTTGCCCATAGGCAGCTGGTCAACTGCACCTGTCAGCTACATTCAAAATTAATCTTTCAACACGCATTGGTGGACGCTGGAAAAAATGGCATCTTCAGTGGTATGCCAAAAAGTTGTATCTGGTGTGTGGCAGCACACCATGTACAATTTAGGAAGCTCGCGCATACAAGAATTTCTGGTATTTACTATGCAAACTACCGTGCACAAAATAATCAGTCCTATGAATTAACCTTGAGAGGGATTAAAATTAGCAAGGCAATAAGAATACTTGGTTGTGCAAGAAGTACCAGATATATAATGATATATATTACATACCTTAGCTATCGTGGCCTGTTTTCCAGTGCAATTGCTACATTGTAATTATATGTAAATGCCAAGTTAAGCTAATGAGTGAATTTCTAATTCCTGTAAAATATCTGTATCTTGTCATTATTATTCAGGTTCACTTGTTATTCTAAGAAATCATGTTCACTATAATAACTAATTATAAGAAAAAGATCACATATTTTCAGCCAGAACTACCTCACAGAGTTAGGTAAAGTGAGGAGAATTAAATTCATATATGCTACTCACTGGAGGAAAGTGAGCAGGGAATTTGTGGAAGGTACAGTATAGCAATGGTTTGGGTATGACATCTAATTCTTTTTTTTCCCAGGTAGTTTTTTCCCGGGTAGTTCTGGTGCAATCTTGGCAGAAGGCAAGAAGTGCTAGCCAATGAGTTTGAATTGGGTCATGCTTATTGGCTAGGAGATCTGGCCAAAGTGCCCAGATGCGAGTTCCACACAGGTCGTGGAAGGGTGTTTAAGACTGGATCTTTCAGGAACTCATCAGTTGCTTTTGAGCATCCACACCACCAATACTTACTGCATTGCTTTACTCATCATAACTTTAAGAGTAGTTTGCTTGGGTTTTGGATCCAAGACTGCTATTACTGGTGCCTCCCTGATATTAATAGCCTATGGAGGACTCTTGAGATTCAGGAGATATGGGATAGAAGAGGTCTGGAAGTAGATGCCTTTTCTACACTCTCTGGTTGGTCAGGGAATACGTGGGGAGCATCTGCCCAGGTGATCCTTCCCTGTAACTCCTAAGGGTTCAGGGATCAGGCTGATTCTTTGGGCTCATTAACCCACAGGCAGGTTGGTTGATACCTGAATCTAGACCCACACATTTGCTAATCTTATTTATAGCTGTGGCCTACCTATCTGGTATGTATGGCATATTATTTCATGTGGAGCTGAAATTGCCCCTGAATTCACAGTCATTGTTGAATATGTTGATTTCTTAAGAAGGGGAGATTTAAATCAGTATGATCTGAAAGTTATGTTACATAGGCTGTGCCAGAATTTTGTAGGTGGTTTATTTATTTATTTATTTATTTATGCTATTTCTATCCCGTCCATATCAACCCGAAGGCAACTCAAGGCAGCGTGCAGAGTTGGCACAATTCGATGCCATATATCAATGTATATATACATATTTGATGTATAAACAACCATCTATTCATATATTTGTTATTAAAGCCCTCTTTTTTTACATGTGCAAGAGAAAAGCTAAAGAGGCATGTACAGATCTGCATAAAGGGAAAAGTATGGCAAACAACATCTTCCTTCCCATTGTGGATCTCTGTTTTCTTCCATAAACACCAGCACAAGAACTAGGAAAGATGTTGCTAGATCATGAGGTGAATGAGTGCATTTTGATACCACTTTCACTGCCATGTCCCAATGCTATGGAATTATGAGAGTAGTAGTTTTACAAGGTTTTATCCTTCTCTGCTCAAGAATGCTGCTGCCCCACCAAACTACAAATCCAGGATTCCATAACATTTAACCATGGCAGTTAAAGTCATGTTGAAATGTGTTAATTCTACAGAGTAAATGCCCCCACATTCTCTGAACACTCATTTCTCCTGAATGATGTAAGAGTTGGGAGCCACTAATACCTTTTCAGGATGGCATGGTGGTAGAATGAGGATAAGTGTCTGCAAAGCTACCTTTCCCCTTGGCCTTCTTTGTACCCATTCTATATGGAAGAAGCAGAATAAGCAGGCACACTCATTTGATTTCATTGGGATATCACCTGGTATGTCATATAATCAACCTACAAATCTGATTTACTGTTGTGTACTGCCTTGAATTGGTTAAGAAATACAAATAAAGAAGTTTTAAAAATAGTAATGCATGTTGAACAATATTTATACATTCTCTCACCCCAGTCCCTTTGCTGTTGTTGTAGACAGTGAAGTATACAGAGAATATCCCCTCCCACCTGAGCGGGTGGACAGATGGTGATCCAATATTGAGGTATGCGAATAAAAGAAAGAGTCTCTCAATATTTTCATTATTCACAGGATGGCTGGCAGTGAGAAGAGCAATGCATCCCCCTTCAGTGAACAAACAGCAGAAAACTCTCATTCAAAGAGATCCCAGAATTATGAAGAGGAAATGTTTTATAAGAACTGCCGAGCAGCCTATCTAGCAGTCTTTAAAAGCAGTTTAGAAAACATTAAATCAAAAGAGCAGCTGTGTTTGGGTAAGTTTTATTTATTTTAAATTTCGGGCTGTACGAGAGGAAACTGTCAGGATGTGAATGATATCTTAAAATCCCAAATATTTCTTGTGTGTTTTAACTGTTCAGTATATCTGTGAAACTGTCTTGTATTTTATATTTCTATACCTCTGTGTTTATAGGCTGCTCATTAAAGTATACCATTTGGGCATCCTGTATCTTAGCATCAGAAAATCATGTACATAAAAAATAAAATAAATCTTTTTCCAGTCTCTTTTCTTCCTAACAAACATGTTTTGAATATTCCTGCCCTGAAGATGCTAAAGCCTAAACAAGTACATATAAGAAGGAACTTCCTGAAATAGCATGGACCTGAGCTGGGTAGTGCTTTATAAGTTAGAAACAACATTTTGAATTATGTCCGAAAATGGACTGGCAACCCATGGAGCTGTTGCAAAAAAGGCATTATGTGTTCTTCGCAGCCACCTCCTGTTACGTAACAAGCCAATCTAGTAGGCTCTTTGGGCAGCTCTGTGAACCAGCGGATGTTTCTGAGCACTTTCAAAAGCAGCTCCATTAAGAGAATGTTACACTAATCCAGATGGGATGTAACAAAGTCATGTGTTTCTATGACCAGAGTGGGAACAAATACAAGGCTGGGGTGCTCCAGAAATAATATACAATTAAAACAGGGCTGAGCAGGGGCGATTGGGATATAATTAGGTCTGCCCAGTAAAGCCAGTGAGGTGGTGGTTCTCCATCCTCAACAACAACTGGAGGTTACCCATTTCTGGTGCAGTGTTTTAATAGGATTTTAACGATTTGAGAATAGCATTTTCAGTGGTTTGAGAAATGCTCATTCTGAGACAGAGGACCTAATGCTACAGCTGCTGCTATGTGTATACTTACATACATGACTACAAATGTACACAAAATGACCATTGTAATCTACTGTTTATAATCATCTACATTCAATTTTAGTGGGACAATCTAAATTCTTTTTACCATATCCTTATATGTTATGTAGCTCTATTAGATTTTCAGGACTGCTGCTTGTAAAATCTCAGTATTATCTTCCACTAATCAGGATGTTAAATATGAATGGTGTGAACAAATGCTTTCTCTCCGTTCCATGCTACTTCTTTCATCTGTGTCCATATGTCACTTGGGTACACGGCAAGTGTTTGGCCATGTCTATTTCAAGGTCAGATTACAGAAGACAAGAGTTCAAGGCCATTTCATTTCTAGAGACCTCTGAAACTGTTTAAAAAACAAACAAATAAAAATGTGTATTTTAGGCCATTGCAAACTTTTGATTCAGTTTTGACAAGAAACCAAGGTGACCTCAGTTGTGACATATGATATTTGATTAATATCTTGTGACATACCATATTGATTACTATTATATACTACAAGTCCTACACTGACATTTACAATATACTTCTTCAAATCTTTGTTTTTATGACTTGCAGTTATGAAATATGATACATTGTTCTAGACTAAAATGTTCCTATAGTCACTTATCAGAACCCACACATTTTTTATAGAAAAGGTACATTTAAAGCATAGTAGACCTTTCTTTAAAAAGTAATATGAAGAATCTGGTAAACAGATCATAAGTACTGGTTTCCTAGTATGTCCAAATAATGCACCAAGCAGCAGAGTTTTTTAGTCTATCTCTGGGGAGGTGGGGTGGGATTTTATTTATTTTTTGTCTTTTAAGAATATGAACACAAGGTTAAAGTAGGATGCTGGGTTGTCCCTCAGAAAACTAAAATACCTACATAATAAAAGTCTCTTATGGGCATTTACCTTTATTCAGTGATCTACATAAACAGATTCAAATGTCTTATCAGTTTGCTTTTTTAAACAGAAACCTATTTGACAAATTATGCTTGCAGCTGTAGGTTTAAAAAGGAGTTTTGACTAGGTCTGTGGGTTTGCTGTTAAAAGGAAAAGACCCAAATGTTTTGTTAGGCAACTACAGGCTACCATAGAACATATGCCTTCTGGGGTGTGATGAATGCTTCCACATAAAATTTTGAAATTTAGATACGCCATTGGTTAGACGGAACGATACTAGGGAACAAATGTCAAAAATGTCCGTACTAATCTACTTCGTAATACTGTATCAGCAACAAATGTCACCCTTGTTATATTTCTCTGCAATTGTAGTTAAAATATGGAGCACACCTACATTATAGAATTAATGCACTATAGAATGTAACAGCCATGGCTCAATGCTATAGAATCATGGGACCTGTAGTTTTACATGATCTTCAGCATTTTCTACCAAATAGTGCCTCATCACACTACAATCCCAAGATTTCATATTTGTATTTTGTTTGTACCTTCACACAAAATACAAATATTTCCTGAACAAGAGTCAGAGTTCTTGCTTCCAGGAATAAGTAAAGTACAGAAGGTAAGCCAAGAAATGATACGCCACTGAGTGAATGCTAGTTGCCAAATTTTTCTGGCTTTAGACTGCTAGGCTTTTAGACTACTAGAAAAGGGGATTTGCATCCATATAGACTATTTTGACAAAAGTATTATCAGTATCAATACATGCAACTATTTTGCTTTATTATGCAGTACTTCAGCAAGCAGGAAGAAATCCATCTCAGAAGACAGTTGATAAATATTGGACTCCTCAGACTTTCTCATTGAATTTTGATGATTTTTGTTCCATCTTAAAACAAGAAGAACCCATTAAGAGCACAGAGCTACTTAAAGCATTTGCAAGTGCAGATACAAATAATGATGGATGTCTTCTCCATAGTGAACTTTCTAAAATCCTTACAACTGTAAGTGACCAAGGAGGGTAATTTAAAAAGTTGTGTTGGTATAACGGCCCATACATTTTCAAGTTCAAGTATACTTCAACTGAAATGTATTTAGCAAGTATTAACTATTTTAATTTTTTTCTGTACTATAGAATATTACACTGATGCATCCATTATCAGTAATGTAGACTGACGTTGTTTTGCAGAGAGGTGACAAAATGACTCTAGATGAAGTTAATGCAATTTTTGAATTGGCTGAAGTCAACAGTGATGGCAAGTTTGACTATTACAAGGTATAATTTTAAGTTGTGAATTTTAATCTGCATTTCATCAGTGGATTTTAACTTTTATTTTAACTCTGTGTATCTTGTTGTATGTCTTTTAATAATGTTTTATCTCTAATTTTTTATCCTGCCTCGAACTGCAGGGAGAGGCAGGTAATAATTTTTTTTAAATTTATTTACAGAATTTATATACCCCTTTTCTCACCTCTGAGGGCACTCAAAGTGGTTTACATAAAAATAACGGCAAAATTCAATGCTTTACATACATAAACCAAAACTTAAACCAACAACATATAACTAGGCATAAAATAAATAGGATCCATTATTATTATTATTATTATTATTATTATTATTATTATTATCTATTAAAATATTTACATCTCACCTTGTATCTTACAGGGCAACTTACAACCAGCTCAGTTTAAAACAATAAATAATAAAAATAATTTAAGACTAAAATATATTAAACCAGGCAGTTTTAAAACAATTTAATATAGTTCTAACCATATTATATGAACTGAATAAAAATGGGTCCCAAGGCTTTAATAAAATCCATGTTTTGACTTGACAGTGAAATGATACCAGCCTTGATGACAATAGGATTCCAAGAAGAGGGTATTACACAACTGGGCATCCACCCAGTCCAGCATAGAACATATTGCATTAGTCTAATTGGGATGGACTCCTATGGCTAAAACATCATAGCAGGAAGACCAATTCAAGCTAGTCTCAAGCACTTTGAAGCAAAATGTCCTCAAGGGTCTCTTGACAAACATGGATCTAAGAGTAGTCTACTTGAAGAGAACTCTACTTCATCCAGTGCAGGTAGTTTACCTAATTCCTCGATCTGAGATCCACCATTCCACAGCATCTTTATCTTTATTGAGATTCAGCTCATTTATTGGCCATCATCTAATCCATTAAAACATCCAAACATTGCTCATGTAAATTTAAAGCTCCAGATGATTATGTGAACAAAGAAAAGAAAAATGTTTTCTATATACTGCTGGCACCCAACCTCAAAACTCCTAATGACATCTCCAGAAGCTTCATATTGAAAGAGGAGACAAGAAAGAACCAGGTGGCACTTCATAACACAATCTCATCTCTCATCTCATCTTTAATTACTTATTAATCGCCCTCCATCCGAGATGCTCCAGGTGATTTACACTGCAGAAATTACACAGGATAAAACACATACATGCAAATATTAAAATTAACATGAGTCAAATGCTCCAGTAAAGAGCCAGGTGGAACTCAACAGGAGTCCCACCGGGCCACTCTCTGGAATCATCTTTGTAAGAAGGAGAAAGTAGTGCCCCCTACTTCTATCTGATGCAGCCAGTCCAGTAGAAAACCATGAACAATGGTATCTAGATTTTGTGATAGGTCTGTGAAGTTCAGCAGGTAGCACTCTCCCTTTGTTTTCACCAATTATTATTATTATTATATTATTATTAACTTTATTTGTACCCCGCTAGCATCTCCCGAAGGACTCGATGCGGCTTACACTGGCCGAAGCCTCAAGACACAATACAGTAGAAAACATAGCACAACAATAACAAGCAAATCAAACAATAAGCAAAATAACAACAATGGCAGTACATCAAGACATTATTAAAACTGGTTCGGCCGGCGCAATGGGGTACAAGGGTTAAAAGTGCTGAAATGGCAGGAGGCACGTAGGATTAAAAGTGCGGTGTGCAGCGACGATTAGTTATACTAAGGTGCTACTAGGACTTGGGGTGGGGATTCCTAGTCTGAAAAGGCACAACGGAAAAGCCATGTTTTTAGATTCCTTCTGAAAACAGCTAAAGTAGGGGCCTGTCGGAGATCTTTTGGAAGGGCGTTCCAAAGTCGGGGGGCCGCCACAGAGAAAGCCCTGTCCCGTGTCCCCACCAAGCGCGCTTGCGACGTAGGTGGGATCACGAGCAGGGCCTCCCCAGATGATCGAAGCGAGCGTGTGGGTTCGTAGATGGAGATGCGGTCACGCAGGTAGGGTGGTCCCAAACCGTTTAGGGCTTTGTAGGTGAGCACCTGCACCTTGAATTGGGCTCGGAAGATAAAAGGCAGCCAGTGGAGCTCCTTAAACAGAGGGGTAGACCTCTCTTGATAAGGAGCCAAAGTAAGGTAATCGTTCAGAGCATCCTGTCTAGAAACCAGACTGAAATGGTCTCAGGTAATCTGTTTCCTTCAGGAACAGATTACCTGAGATCTTGAATCTGCCCAGCTACCATGCATTCAAGCACTTAGTCCAAATACGGGATATTGGTGAAGGAGTAGTAAATCTGAAAAACAGGAGAAGACAAACAACCTTCTTCTTCAAAGCAGACACCTTCCTCTGACATGGTTGAGGCATTTACCTCTCCTCTGACCCAACCAATGAGTCTTTGTCTGCTAAATTTTAACAACCCAATCTGGATAAAAGTTAATTGAACAAGATAACTTAAAGATTGTAACTGAAGGAGTCACCCGTGATAGTATCTACACATTATTTTATTGGTATCACCCTGTCTCAATTGGAGGATATTCCATTATGTATGTAGATGTGAAAAGATGTGATAATCAGTGAATATAGGGATGGCAGGCATTCAGAGAAAAGGCAGTATGTCAAGAACTAATAAACGGAGCCTTTTTAGTAGTGATATATTAGAATGGCTTTTCATATTGAAGCCTTCAACAGTGCAGCCCGATTTGGAGTTGGCCTTTGACAACGAAAGGTGCAATGGTTCTGAATTTGAGATATGCTTATTAATATGATAATGTAGTGGTTACTTATAAATATCTTATCACAAGCTATGCCTTGGATGCAAAGTACTGTGAGTGGAAGGAGAAATGAATTGGTGCTGTACTGTGAACTCTTCAACAACCTAGTTCAAGATTTCTCACATGAAGTACCATAGCACCATCGGAGGTTGTGTTACTATATAACCAACAAGAGATGTAAGGTCTTTTCACTCTATACTATTAAAGCACTATTGATCCTCTTGAACTGACAGTGCCATTGTGTAGAATCCGGAGATTTGTAGTTTGATGAGGCTCTCTGGATGAGAATTCCCTTCTGCCATAACCTGTTAATTACCAGAAGAGATCAGAGTGGGAGCCAACTGAGACTCCTGTACAGGCCACCTAGGACCTCATCAGATGGGCTTAAATTTGGCAGCATATGCTGTTTCCTCTCCATTCGCCCCACGGAGCCCACCGGTTCCCATTCCACAACATAAAGCTACTTCTGATGGGGCTCTGTAGCACAAATGGAACTGGCAGGTGCCACTGTGGCAGCAACATGGGAGGCTTCCCATGTTGCATAGGGATCAACAGCAGCGTTGCTTCCCCCCCCCCCCAGTGGGGTGGGGTTTGGGGTAAGTCGGGCGATGCAGGACGTGGGGCGAAAGAGTGGCCAATGTGATCAGGTTGTTAAGAAGGCTTTTTCCTGTTTCATCAAAAGTGTGCCTATAACAGTGTTAGGATCTATACATGCTTGACATATTGCAAAATGAATACTTAGAGAATGACAGTAGTAATGTTTCAGATATGGCCAAGCACAACACTATAGATATTGTTAGTTGTTTGACTCCCATCATCCATCACCCTGGTTACACTGGCTAAGATGTTAGAAGTTGCAATCAAACAATATCTGACGTGTCACATTTTGCCATGGCTGAAATAGAGAGTTTACGAATAGGAATAATATTCCACCAAAGTCTCTTTTTGACTTCCTTTTACTTCAAGAGTTTGTAGTGCAGATATAGGGATACCCCTTTTATAGCAAAGAGAAATGGGAGAAAATACAAGTGCAGAGTGTGAGATGCTCACAGGCTTTTTGTTACAAATACTTTACACTGTCTGTAGAGCTATCACAATATTATCTTTGTGAATATAACAGAAGCATTGTCTTTTTATAAAAATATAACTATTTATTCTGTGTTCACATCTTTGGTTTGTTTATTTTATCTCATGGTTTTATCTTGTCTATATACAGTGACTACATTGTTCATTAGAGCTTCCCATTTTGATCCATTAAAAATTATACATAAACAAGTCATTCCAAGAATAGCATAAAGAGACACAAAGAAACATCCTAAGAGAAAGGCACATGAAGCAGATCCTTGTTGTGATCGCCTTCCATCTTCAAATCTATGTCATTGTGAAAGACTATGAATATGTAGTCATTTATAGATCCATCACCAATACTCAACTCTTGAAAGACAGTCATACTCAGCCACAAGTGATCACCCATGATGATGAAAAAGCAAGTCTTTCCACGAATGTGTCCAATAGTATAAATCTTACCTTGGGGTAACTTTTTGACTCTATTTTCTCTTGGATGTATGATCTCCTCATTGAATCATGGCTCCATTTTACTGTTTCACTCAAAAGTGCTCAGTGTGATTCATGAAAATAAAATGAGGATGGTGTTTCCAGAGGAAAATATTCTTTACCTATTGATCTTTTTCCTGCTTAGTTGTGCCTGTGTTTATTTTTCATCTAGAATACTTAAGAGACCAAGGTGTGTGTCTGTTTTCGTTTACAGTTTTGTAAATTGTATATGACAGTCAATGAACAATGTCTGAAGACTGCACTAGAGAAACTGGAGGCTGACAGTAAACTGAAGCGTCATCAGTTTGGAAGCCAGCTTGAGAATTCATCAGAAATGACAAGATCTCCAGTTTCAAAACCATTACCAAAAGCTACAAGGAAAACAGAATTCGGACCAATGCTTAAAAACGGTATTTATATTTAAACATAGTAAGTCCTTTCCATTGATTTCCCTTGAACATCTTGATTAGCGCATGCATTCGATTTCTGAAATAAACAGCTAAATAATACCTTGTTGTGACAGATCCATTTCCCAGTTTGGCCTCTCATTTCCATTTCTGGTAGCCCCTGTAGTGCTAACAGTTCCCCTTGTCATTTGCAGGTTTTTTAACATTTTTATTTAGCAATCATAATTATGATACTGAATAAGCAATATGAAGACAGCATGTTGCCTTATTCATAGTTAGACCATGAATTTGTTTAATTCTGTATTGTCTCTACTAAATTGTAGCCTTTTCCCAAGTATCTTTTCCATCTGTGGGTTCATTTCCACTATTGAATTAATGGAGCTTGACACCACTTGACTAACTACTATGACTCAATGCTATGGAATCATGGGAGTTGTAGTTTAATGAGGCGCCAGCATTCTTTGGCAGAAAGAATCCCTTCCTTGTATCTCCACTGGATGTGTCCCTGAAGATGCTGGACTAAAAATGGACCACCAAGATCTTTAAGCCCAAGCAGGCTCATCTGGTCCAAATTGCATTGCTGTGAGTTTTCTGGGCTGTATGGCCATGTTCCAGAACCATTCTCTCCTGACATTTCACCCACATCTGTAGCAGGCATCCTCAGAGGCTGTGAGGTTTGTTGGAAACTAGACAAGTGAGGTTTATCTGTGGAATGTCCATGATGGGAGGAAGAACTTGTGTCTGCTTGAGGCAAGTATGAATGTTGCAGTTTGCCACCTTGATTAGCATTTAATGCCCTTGTAGCTTCAAAGCCTGGCTGATTGCTGCCTGAGGATCCTTTGTTGGAAGTGATAGCTGGCCCTGATGATTTCATGTCAGGAATCCTCCTGGTTTGTGTGTGTGTGTGTGTGTATGTGTTTGGGTGGGGGGGGGGTTCCTCTTAATGTACTGTCCCGATTTAGAGGGTTTTTTTAAATACTGGTAGCCAGATTTTGTTCATTTTCATGTTTTCCTCCTTTTTGTTGAAATTGTCTACATGCTTGTGGATTTCAATGGCTTCTCTGTCTAGTATGACATGGTTGTTAGAGTGGTCAAGCATTTCTGTGTTCTCAAATAATATGCTGTGTTCAGGTTGGTTCATCAGGTGCTCTGCTACGGTTGACTTCTCTGGTTGAAGTAGCCTGCAGTGCCTTTCATATTCCTTGATTCGTGTTTGGGCAATGCTGCATTTGGTGTTCCCTAGGTATACTTCTCCACAGCTGCATGGTATATGGTAGACTCCTGCAGAGGTAAGAAGATCCCTCTTGTCCTTTGCTGAACGTAGCATCTGCTGGATTTCTTAGTGGGTCTGTTTCCTCATCAGCTTCCCTATGCAGTCAGTTATTCCTTTGCTGTATGTAAGAACACTTTTCCTCTGGGTGGATCTTTGTCTTTACCCTCATGGCTTGTTCTTGGTATTGCAGCTCTTCTAATGTCTTTGGTGGAGTATCCATTGGCATGTAGGGCCCAGTTTAGGTGGTTAGAATGTATGCTTTTTTTGTTCTGAGTGTTCAAGTTGTTTGCGACTTATGGTGACATGTGAGTGTGTAGAAGACCACCTATTACAATGCAGTCTGAGCCCTGCCACATGCACAATGGAGGGCCCCCTTACAGCAACACCAGAGGTACTCCAAGTGGCCTGATACTGGTCAAAGGACATTTCGTATAATGCCAAGTTTTTAAACTCTGAGTTTTTTTAAAAAAAGAAAATACATTACAACATTGGTTCTCAACCTGGGGTCCCCAGATGTTTCTGGCCTACAACTCCCAGCCAGTTTACTAGCTGTTAGGATTTTTGGAAGTTGAAGGCCAAAAACATCTGGGGACCCCAGGTTGAGAACCACTGCATTACAACTATATCCTCATTTAGCTTCTGATACAATAAATAAATAAATATTTATGGGCCAGAGTACAGAGAGAGGGGGGCAGAAGACAGTTCCATCTTGTCTCCTGCCTATATCATGAGTTGGGAGCCTCCGCCCCCGGCACCAACTGCTGATCTGGGCCAGAGTGAAGAGAGAGAGGGGCGGAAGACAGTTCCATCTTGTCTCCTGTGCTTTACATATAATATAATACTGATATTGTACTATGCTAATGATATAATATATTGTATGTATAAGCCATTCTGAGTCCCCTTTGGGGAGAGAAGGACGGCATATAAGTGTCGTAAATAAATAATTAAATAAGTAAGTGGTTCTCTTGATGAATGGTAAGAACACTTTTCCTCTAGGTTGATCCTTGTTTTTACTCTCGTAGCTTTTTCTTGGCCTTGCAGCTCTTCTGATATCTGTGGTGGAGCTTCCATTGGCCCTGTAGAGCCCAGTTTAGGTAGTTCCTGTGATTCCAGCCATGAAAGCATTTGACAACACATAAAATAAGTTTTCTTTTTAGTGTGCCTAAGCATTTCTGCATTTTATGAAATAACAGCCAAGTGAATAAATCTGTTACAGAAGTGAGAGGCTCTTCAGTTCCAAGTTACAAAACCTGTGTTTCCACAACTATCAGTATGGGTGCCAGCTACAACAAAAATTCAAGGCTAATTGAGGCAAATACAACAAAGGTAAATTTTGTCTGTTAATTCAGTTTGGCTTGTGCTCCCCCTCACCAGGTGGAAATTGTACATTTTAAATAGAAAACAATGATTCTTTCTCTTGCAGCATATAGCTTATTAACTGCTTGTCAAGGGCAACAGTATAGCACATAGACATTACTGGTTGAAAAACACTATAAACATTTTTATATTATGTTGGTTTTGCTGACATCCCATTATTTAGGATCATTTTTCAGGTGTGAAGGTTTGCTAGAACAAACCACGTTTTCCATAAAGAAAATCAGTCTTGGATAAAATTGTTAATGACTCTGTGAGAAATGCAAAATTGAATAATTTATTAGTACTTTAAATGCTTAAGTAGCCTGAAAGATTATGTATCACAATTCTCTATAGGAAGGATAATTGAAAATTAATATCTTCAAACGTACCCAGATCAGAAGACATTAATTGGTAAATATATGCCGTAGCCAGAAAATATTGACTATTATTTACACTAATAAGTTTTACAAGTAATTTATTTTAAATAAGTCATTCATTCAATATCCATTCCTGTGAGAGAAAGACAACAAAGTCACTTTGCTAAGTCAATATTTGTAGAGTGTTAATATTGATCTTTCCCCCTTTGTTTTCCCTTTCCTGATTTGGCCTTTACTAGTTTTCTTTCAACAGAAAATAATAGCTAGAGAAATATAAAACATTAGCTGGAAACCACTAAGATACATTAAAAATGTGTACCTTGAGACCTTTGTGTGAGGGGTAAAGAATGGTTATGACCACATAATATAACTGCAGCTAGAAGACTGAACTGATTGTTCTCTTGAGCTACATTTTTGTTTCAAATAACAACTCTGTATTTGTTATTGAACTCTGAAGTCCTTTATATCTTTAACATTGCTAGACAGTGACATTTGTTCTATATTAAAATTTTAAAACATCCTCTCTGAGGATTTATGTGTCTATGTGTGTTTAGGTATCTGAACCCCTGTGCAATTTAGCCTGTAATTCCAGTATGTTCAAGGGTGATATGTTGTGTGTGGAAATATATAGTTTTCTACTAGTAATAACTGGTTCTGTTTCAATGGTCTCATAAATTAGTAATGAATACTGCCTTTCTAAAGTATTATTAGTGAACAGTCAAACTGATAATTAATCTGTGTTCCTTCCCTTTCTGCTATTAATAATCATTTTTGGCTGTGAAATGTTCAGCATCCTCAGACCCATATCCCTTCCCCATACTTTCACAGCATCGCTGTTTAGCATCACCAGGCACATACTTTCTATTGTAATTGGGGCTTAGTTAAGACAAAAAAGCACCCCTTGATCTGACCATGTCATAGAAGAAAAAAGCAAACTTAATTAGACCATAGTATGATAGCTGGGACCCTATGCTAGTTGCGCAATGTGGGTCAGAATTAATGAACACGTGCGCGAGACAGCGAAGCTAGTGAAAGATGCAGCTGTGGCAGGATAGTGTCAGGACCCAGTTTCCAGGGCCTTGGATTTGGCGCTGAGAACCAGGGCCCTGACATAGGACATTGATAAGGAACTTGCAGCTGCCGATCTTGGAAGAAAACGGCTAGCAGTTTGGCAGGGATATTGCGCTGGGTTTGTGGTTGGCGGGAAATGCATTTTCTAGTAAGGGGGTGTGTGTATATAAGGAGTGACCAACTGGTTCCGAGCAATCTCAGCTTTTTGCATGTCCATGTTTCCATCAGTAAAGTTTCTCTTTGATACCAGAGCGCAGTCCTGTGTTTTCATTGGGAGCAACCGCTGTGAACTGACAGGATAGCAGTGAAGTAATTTAACTCAGGAGGGACAGGATAAGGGTGAGGTAATGTAACAGTATTCCCCCTCTCCTTTTTATCCTTCCTTCCATCAGTCGTCTTTACCCCCTCCTTTTTATCCATCCTTCCATTGCAACGACTCCACCGCAGCTGCATCTCTCACTAGGTGCGCTCACTCGGGCATGTGTTCCCCGAATTCAGACCCATGTTGCGCAAGCAGCGTAGCGTAGGGTCCCAGCTATCATACTATTGCCTTTAATTTATTCAAAATTTTAGTAACATTTGCAAAATAAATTCGGAAATGAAATAGAGCTCAGCTGATCTGTCCATCTTATTAAAAACATGTTTATTGTTTCGTTTACATTAATTTGCTTTCATAATGTTTGGTGGCATATAATAAATGTTTTAAATTAATATGAAATGCTTCTGATGGTTCTCTAGATCACTGCTATTTAAATTGTGAGTACCAACCCCAAATGTTTGGGTTAAGAAAAAATTGGCAACAGTAAAAGTTTTCTGAACATCACCTAGTGGCTGTTTTCGATATTTACACAAATCTGTTGTGCAGTGTTTGTTTACAGTGGATTCTGCAGAAAATGCTTCAGCTGTACAGCAGGATTAGGTGCTGTGTTTTTAACAGTTTTTAATTGTATTGATATGTTTTTATTTGATTTTAAAGTTTTATGTGTCATGTATTGTAGGGTTTTATATTTTAATATTAATTTAATATTACTATTTTATATTTTAGTTTTAATATTTGCCAAGGCTGGAAGCTTCTATGAATCCCCTCCAGGGTGAGATAGAATGGGGTAGAAATACAATAAATAAATAAATAAATAAATAAATAAATAAAAATATAATGTTAGTTTGTGGGATTAACATAACTCAAAAACCACTGGGTGAATTGACACCAAATTTGGACACCATACACCTATCAGGCCAACGAGTGACCATCACTCATAAAAACACTGAAGAACACAGTGGAAGAGACTTAAAAGCCAAAAAACAAAAAATGCATTACAACTCATACGCAAAACCACATATATACACAAACACACATATATACACAAATACTGTATTTACACACACATATGCATATACACACAAAAAAACACATGTACACAGACTGGGCCACAGCAACACATGGCAGGGGACGGCTAGTGCTTGATAAAAAGAAAAATCAGCCTGTTTAGCAATCCTTGCAAATGCTTGATTTTTTAACCTATTTTATATACTCATTAATGTAAAAAAATTCAGGTGAAAAGAGGTTGGCAGTAGTAAAGTTTAAAAAGCCCTGCTTTAGCCCATTGCACTTCACTAAAGATAGAACCCGACGATATAAAGAACAAGAGTCATCTGCAGATATATTGTGAATGGTAGCATATGGTGAATACAGGAATAAATTCTTATAAAACCACTGGAAATAAATATGTAAGAAAATAAAATAGATCTACAGTGTTGTAAACTAGAAAAGCAGTTCAGTGCAGTTGTACTTCGTTAATGCAGTTGCACTCCAATGTGTGGCAAAAGTTGCCAGAAACCAATATTTTATTTTTCATTGCATTTGACTTTTCCATTGGATTTCAGCATATGTACTGAAACCTTTCACAACACAGCTGTTCTCACAATGATTTGTATTAAGCAAAACTTGTAGAAAAGAGCAGTGGACTTCTTCTGCATTGTGCATTACAACCCTCCACTTTGAGTGGGCCTTACATGCCGTAAGTGTGGGTAAGATTGCAGACACCACTTCAAAATTCCTTTCAACAGGAGCTTATGTGGAAATATCCAGGCAAGATGCATAGTAGTTGTTCAGATGTTTGCATCCCAAACTGAAAGCCATGGTCATAGCGTAAATATATTTTACCTTCTTGATGTTACATCACTGTGATACTGTTACTTTCTCACATTTGTTTGTATACATTTTCCTTATAATTTAAAATATTCCTATTCCTCCATATCATACATCCTGCTGCAAACGCAGAAATACTTACCTATATTAGTTGAAAAAGAGCTAGTCTCTGAGTCTTGGATTAAGGGGCCAATAGCACCATCTTATGGTTTCTAAGAGGATAGCAGGCTTCTTATGCCTTTATACAAGGATGAAATTATTGCAACCATTTTCCTCTGCGTTTTCAAACATGGTAAAATATCCACAAACATTTACCTGTGAAACCTTAAGTTTTAAACTGGATATTTATAAAACAAAAACCAATACATTGTAATCACAAAGAAAGTACACTGTGAGATGGAAAGTTTTTGATTAAAGTATTACCTTAACTGCAAAGGAGGCCTTAACAAGTTGCTGTTTTTTCAGTTATCAACTGGAATGAGGAATAGTAATACCCACGTGGCTTAAAGACAAGTGATAGCTTTGAGTTTATTTATAAAGAAAAGTTGGAGGTAGGTGTGAATGTTTAAATTGGCCACCTTGATTAGCATTTAATGGCCTAGCAGTTTCAAGGTGTGGCTTCTTACTGCCAATTGAGACATTCACACCTACCTCCAACAGACCAGCATTCTTCCTCTCACCCTGGACATTCCACAGATATATAAACCCCATTTTCCTAGTTTCCAATAGACCTCACAACCTCTGAGCATGCCTGCCATAGATGCAGGCGAAACGTCACGAGAGAATGTTTCTGGAACATGGCCATACAGTCCAAAAACTTAGAATAACCCAGTTATTGCAGTCATCAAAACTTTTGACAATACACGAGATTAGATGATGCATACTCCCAGTTGTCCAATTAGCCTCAGAACTTGGAAATGTAAATTTTTGCATGACAACTCCCAGTATCTAGCCACTATAGGCTGGGATAATGAAAACTATAGTGCTAAAAGTAACTTTTATAAACTCTGATGAACTTTTATAAAATTATATGTACCATAAAGTCAGTTTAGCAACTAAATTACCCAAAAAGGAGAAGTACTAATATTTCAGCACCAGAAGAAGCACAGAGTATAGATATCACTACCCAGGTCATTGCCTAACAGCGTGCCATCTCGCGTCCTATTTATTTTGTTTCTAGGAATGGCATTGTGTACTCTCCAAAGGATGCTTCTTCTTGCAAGACAGTGGTGAGATAATTAGTCATAAATACAAGTTGTCTTTACCCCAAACGTCTACAGTATGTATCACCATTAAGCCTATAAAGCTTCACCAAAGGGAAGGTAAGAATATGTACCTTTTACCAAATAAATTGCCTTTTAGATTTCCAGATGAGATGGACAGAGAATGTCCTTCTTCCTGGGAACAGCAACCATTTCAGTTGCTTTTGAGAAACAAAAAAAAATTGCTACTTTATTTTATGTGGCTTAGAACTATAGCTTTAAAAAAAAAACCTTTCCAAACATATTGCTAGATCCTTTTGCTCCACATTGGATGAAAAGAGGTATAAATAAACAAACAAAGAAATAACTAAAGCTATGATTTTGTCACTCTTTGCAGAGAAATGCTCACCATGGTTAGCAGTGGACTCAGCTTTATATATATTTAAGGACAGTGAAACAGAAGACTACTTACAGCTTATGAACTTCACTGAGCAACGCAATAAAGAGGTCAGAACATTTTAAGACCCTTACATTGAAGGGAGTAACCATTTTAATACTGGTATGTGCACCAGGTTTTAAAATAAGGGTTAGAGCATAATAAAGGCATATAAGCAAGTTTGTAAAGCCTTTTATCCAAGAAAGTGACTCAATCACTATTAATGAAACACTAAGCCTTTTTGGAGCCCCCGGTGAGCTGATGAATTTGCTGAACGAAATTTGGCAGTTTGAATCCATGGAGCGGGGTGAATCCACGGAGCAGAGCCCCAGCTTCTGCCAGCCTAGCAAAAACATACAAATGTGAGTAGATCAATAGGTACTGCTTTGATGGGAAGGTAACGGTGCTCCATGCAGTCACGCCAGCCACATGAACTTGGAGGCATCTACGGACAATGCCGGGTCTTCAGCTTAGAAATGGAGATGAGCACCACCCCTCAGAGTCGGACACGACTAGTCTTAATGTCAGGGGAAACCTTTATCTTTTTTAAAGGTGTTATTCTAGACTAAATATATGGTACTTTTATACAGAGTCATTTCACCATTTGCATACCAGCTCTAGGCAGTAAACATGAAAGGTGTCTTGAGAATATGCACACCTCAGACTTGCAGAGGAGAGGTGCCAAACAATGTATATTCACTCTGTTTGCAGCATACAGTGGCATCCACATCGGCCACTTTAAAAAAAAAGCACTTTTGAGTAATAGGCCCCATCTACCAAATCATGCAGTTTAACTGAATTGAGCTGCATTATATGAGGCCACACTGCCATATAATCCAGTTCAATGCAGTTAAACTGCATTATATGGCAATGTAGATGGCTCATAGTTTGGAGCGAAGTTTCCAATTTCTGAGCCTAATACTTCACTTTAATTTTTCATTATCTTTGATTTAGATTCTTTTTAGATTTCATGCTCTTCACACTGGGAATGCTTTCAATATCTAAACCTTTGAAATACATGTCAAGTAATGGTGATATCTTTAGGGCGTTTTCAGACAGTATCAAAATGCGGGTTTTGGAAGTAGGGCAAAAAAATCCCTGGACCTGACAGGAAGTCCACACACAGACCTCTCAGTCCTGGGATGTGGTCCCCCACCATCCTCACATCTTCCTTTGAAGCAGATCAAGATGGAGAATGGATACGGGATATCTGGTGGAAGTTTTTTTTTATTCTTCCCGAGATGTGCTGAACCTCATATGCGCACATGCGGAGATCTTGTCATATGCGCACCTCATATGCGGTCATATGCGGACCTCATATGCGCACATGCGGAGCAGATTTCTTGTCTCTCTTCACCAAACTGTTAATTCAAGCTCTGTTTAATATTATAAGAAATAAAGGAATTGCTACAAAGAGTTCTGATTGCTTTCTAGTTGTGCTTCCCTTAGCCACCTGTGTGTCTGTGGCTCTTTGACAGTGTCTTTGTGTTGCGTCTCAGGTTAAGTTGCACCTTGCTCTCTGACAAACCAGCCAAACTTGAGAAGAAAGAAGTTTATTGAGGTTTCAAACAAATCCAAGTAAAAGCAGTAAAAAGGTTCAATAGTACAAAGTAAAGGTCCAATAGGTTCTCTTGAATCAAAGCAGGAAACTTGAGGCAAAGAAACAGGATAAAATCCAGGAAATAGCATGAGGTTACAGGAGGCAGGCAATCCCCAGGGCCCAAGCCCTAAAGCCGGAGGTACAGCGATCCATATTGCGAAGTTGAACTGACACTGAATCAGCTTTCAAGCAGTCTTCTTATAGGAAAAACATCAAAACATCGAACATTAAACAGAACAGCTAACGAGCAGTTTTCCCACCAGCAGATGGCCTCAAGATTTGGCCGCAATCCGTAAACTTCTCCTTAACACCTGCGGCTCACTCTGACCTTCACCGAGTGTTTTATCAGCCACATTCCGTTCCCATGAGAACAAGGGTTTCTTTCCAGCTACAGACTGTGGCTGAGAAAACTGAGAAATCTGAAATCCCACACCTGCATCTGTATTCCCATTCCCATCATGCCCACTTGCACTCTCAGTCCCATCATGCTGTTGCTGAACCACAACACTATCCCCCCCAAGCCCCCCCCTGAGGCCCCCCACCGGACCGGGCTTGGCCGGATAGGCCCGGTGAAAGCGGGACACCAGGAGAGGAGCATGAACATCTCGAGCATCCACCCAACAGCGCTCTTCAGGACCATATCCCACCCAGTCCACCAAGTATTGTAACTTGCGATGATAACGGCGAGAGTCCAAAATGTCCGCCACTTCGAATTCTTCCTCTCCATCGAGCAGAATCGGGGGTGGCGGAGGGGCC